TCAACTGCATGAGCTCAGTGGGTCGCTCAGCGGGTCGCTCGACGTGGTGGCTGCGGTGGTTATCGGTGTGGTTACTCGTCCCTCCATCGTCACGATCCCAAGGCAGATTTTCAACTGGAGACTCGACACTCGGCGTGTCTGGATTATTGGCCGGGAGTCCAACACGTTGGTGAACGTGGCTTTCAACATGAAGCTCGCTGTGCTCGTTGGTCTGGTTCTCGACTGGGGACTCAAATTGCTGAAGGGCTGTACGATCCACTGTGGGTTGCGCAAGCTGCTCGACCTGAAGCTCGTCCGAGAGTCGGATAAGCTGGTCAACCCCGGTTACACCAGGAGGCTGAACGTGAAGGTTGTCTGGAATGTCGGTTTGCGGCTGAAAATCATCCTGATCTCGGACCTCTTGGGGCTGCAGAGGTCGTACGTGCTCACCGAGTTGTAGTGAGAGGGAGGGTAGATGGACTGGGCTTGGGATTAGATCAGCGTTGGCTTCGTCGGCGTCGTTTCCGTGACGCTTGCAAGTACGGCGGTTGTGTCCCTTTTCGGAGCAAGTCTTGCACTTGTACGTATTTCCAGCTGACTCACCGCTACTACCCATGCGGCGTGTAACTCTCCTGCCAGCTTGCTTGTAGAATGGGGAAGGCTTGACATTAGGGTCGACGTGATCCGTGTCTCTAATTGGCAATTCAATTCCTTTACCGACGAAAGCGTGTACATTGGTCGTTACTAGATAGCTCTTGTGAAAAGCATCCAGGTTCTTCTCAGGCAATTTGACGTGCTCCAAAACGGCATTTATATGCCTACAAGCAATTTTGAGCTGGTCGGAGGTGGGGCACGAGCAAGAAGGCATGGAAATGTCGACTCTGCGTGAGCGTGAAGTTCCAGCGCGTACCGTAAAGTAAACCGTGTCAGAAGATCTTCTTACGGAGTATTCGCCTACACGAGCTCGCTCTTTCTCCCATAGGTCTTTGGCGTACGGTGTTAAAATGCGCCCTTCTTTCTTCCATTGCAGAACAGCCAATTCCCTACGGCTACAACACTCCATTTCAGCAGCGGTAATTTTGATAAGCGCTTCATACGGCCCCGCATCACGAATACCGCTCTCGATCATTGAAGCGTTCTCACTTTCCACGAAATTGGTGCTGCGCCATCCAAAAAGCGGTAGTACCCTAAAGGTGGGGGACACTTTAGGTTTGGGTGGCCCTGTTGAAGTCGCTTCAACTTGAGATTTGGAGGAAGTCAGAGATTGATGGGACAACGTGTTAGGATTATCCGTGTCCGGAATAAAGTATGAAAGGTTTGCGTGAACTGTCCACAAGTCCGTGAAAATTGAGGAAACATAATTCGCCACTGGATCTCCATAGTTCTTACGCAAATCAGCAAGGGCAGCGGCAAAATCAACTTGCCGCTCAGCACCTTGAATTTTCCATATAGCATTTTCAAACACTTGTCCGCCATACCCACAAATTTTTTTCATATTCCTCAATAGGTGAACAGTACAAAGCCGAAGATTCACACATACACCGGTTAGGAACCGAAAACGATCCGCAGCCCCGATCATTTTGCCTCTGTCGCAGAAGACAGCCCTGCCATCTAGTTTTAAGCTAGCTACATGGCATTGCTCCAAAAACCAAAGGATATTAGCCTCATTTTCCACATTTACGAGAGCTGTAGCCAATATAAGGTTACGACCATTGCCATCTCGGCCTATAAGTGACAAAATGACCCCGTTGTACTTGGAATGTTTACAATGTGCACCGTCAAATCCAAGAAGTGGTAACAGTGCATGTTGGCTGATAATGTTGACCCCGAAAGCCAGAAAAACCCGTAAAAAACGTTTGCGTTGATCAACATCGAGATGTACAAATGTACCAGGGTTTGAATCACGCAATTCAGCTAGGAGAAAAGGGATTTTACCAAAAGAAGAATCCCATTTGATATGAGTCTCGTCAACAATGTCATCTTTGGCGCGATGTAGTTTAGATCTGCAGCCTCCCAAAATTGTAAGATCACGCGCTTGAACCATTTCAATGAGAGCTTTGCGCTTGACACGCGGGTTTGCCAAAACTGCGGCGCGAAGCGTTGGAAGGAGTTTAATTTGCCGCTGAGTTGGTTTAGCCACGGACGTACAAAAGTCGTGGTGTTGTTCGGTAAGGTTGGAGACGTACATATGCTTAGAGCCGTCTGACAACTTCCGACAACTCACACGCACTTCCCACTTACACACTGTACTGTCACAATGGTATACTTTAGCTTTGCCGCTGCTGTAGGAAACGATGCATCGCTTATTGGCATTGTAAGAGTAGTCTTGCATGAAGAACGTGGCTAGCTGTCCAGTTTGAAAACGTTGTCCGGGAACAAGTGCAGACATTCCATGAATACTTGTCAAATCGATGAGTGCTCTGGCGTTAGTCAAAGTCATTGTTGACTGGAAAAAGAGATTGCTGGCAGTGTTGGCGCGTGACTTGTCGAGAAGCTGGAAAACGATGAATGACACAGACAAAATAGAGCCTCCGCGTAACTATAACTGCAATCAGGTCAAGAGGACGAAGGATCATTTTTAGAGTGGCCGACACTATTTTTGTGTGGTACTGGTACTGGAATTGGGACGGGTACTGGTTCTGGGAATATGACTCTAGACTGGTACTGGTTTTGGGAAAGCTCTAAAACTGAGGCAGAAAGGCACAATAAGTACGGGGGGATGCGCGCGCTTAAATTTGCTTTTGAACCCCCGCGTGTCATTGATCAAACGATGGAAGCGGTCGCAACCAGAACTCGGAGCGCTCAAAAGCGGAAAGCGCGCTTAAACTGTTCCCACGCGGAAGCGGAAGTGCACACGACTGTCCCCGAGCGGAAACGAAAGCGTGCGGAGGCCCCCGCACGGGCACCCAAGCGTCCACGCCGGTAATTGTGTAGCAACTACCGTTTCTTTCATGATGATTGTAACAATTTTTTTTCCTGGTTAGGGAAACTTCCGATCAAGACGCTCTCGAGCGGATCGTGGAAGCAGCCTTCAAGGTCCCCGACGACGGCAGCGCGGTAAGCTACCTGCGGAAGGTGCTGTTGCGCTCGGCGTTCGAGATAGCTCGCCGCGCGGACATCGCCGAGGCAAATTACAAGAGAGTGAAGCTGGAGATCGAGAAGAAGGACGATGAGCTGAAGAGGGTCCGTCTCCTGCTTACAGCATCCAAGAAGCATGTGAGGTGGGCTACGGAAGCCCGGGGGCGTGCGGAAGCGGCGGCACGCCTTGCTGCATTTACAAATAAAATATACCAATAAATTTATGTTTTCATTATTGACGTCGGTCGAGGTTACTCGTTCTTCGACGGAGGCTCGCCTCTGATGTACGCGGGCAACGACGCGGGCGAGAAATTGTCCATTCTTCCAGGCATTTTGGCCAAAATGGACCGAGACGCGCCGTCCTACGGCTCCAGTACCTACAATGATTTTAATACGTTTTACTATGCAGCAGCCAGCAGTACGAGTGGAGGCTCCAGCGGCTCCCCAGTGCTGAATATTGACGGTTGTGCTATTGCGCTCAATGCTGGAGAAGCCAAGAAGGCTGCTTCGTCCTTTTATTTGCCACTTGATCGCGTCGTGCGAGTGTTGAAACTGATTCAATAGGGCAAACCTGCGCCCCGAGGCACGATACAGACAATCTTCCGACACACTGCATTTGATGAGATGAGGAGACTGGGACTGCCAGGAGAGACGGAGGCGCTGGTGCGGCAACAATTCCCACAGGAGACAGGTATGATCAGGTCATTCAAGGAGGACCTGCACATGACCAGCTGCGGACAGGAGACGTGCTCATTAATTTTGGTGGACAGTATGGAGCGACATTTTTGACCGTTGAAGAGTATCTGGACGCTCATGTTGGAGAGACAGTGGAGGCGCAGTTCCAGCACGGAGACGAGCAGTACACAGCCACTATCAGTATCCAGGACTTACATTCCATCACGCCCGACAGATACTTGGAGATCGGAGGAGGAATTGTACATGCACTTTCCTACCAGCAAGCGCGCAACGCGTCATTGCCCGTGGGTGGGGTGTATCTTGCTCAAGCAGGGCATATGTTCATGAAGGTGTATCTAGCCCAGCCCTGTATCATCACATCCGTAGCGGGACAGCCCACTCCTACATTAAACGACTTCGCACGGGTCATGGCCTCGCTTCCGAACGGCTTCCGAACGGTATTAAGGTACTTTATGATTCGTGATCGCCACCGTGTCCGCACGGCCTTCATTATGATGGATCGTCTTTGGTTCCCAATGCAAATGTGCACTCGTAACGACGAAGACGGACTTTGGTATTCCAAGCCGTATACGTTAGAAGCATCCAATGGAGAGAACTCACTTGTGGCTACAGCAAATGGAAACCCGACGTTTGCTCTTGCACTGTTGAGCTTTCCTGGAGGCAACGCACTTGGTAAGAAGACGTTACTGTCGCTGGTGATGGTATCGTTTGATATTCCTTACATGATTGATGGCATTTCGAGCTCGAGTTACCACGGGA